AGGGTTTAGGGTTTAGGTTATATAAGAGCTATAGTTACACGAGATACTGTCAATCTGCGGATTATTCACGGACCCTTAAAAAGTTGACATAGTGGTTTTTCTTATAGTTTAGTACAGTCCCTCATATAATCCCCGCTTTCGTGGGGCTGTGGGTAACAGGTCAATACAATCCACCAGACACAAGGGGCGCGGTGCCCCGGATGTGGCACCCAAGATGCTGCAGTTAGTCGCATAGCTTACTACACGTTTTTGGCACGCTGCGGAGACGGATCCCATCCCCGTTGGCGACACGGACGAAAAGCATTTCAAGGTCAGTGGCAGCGCAGCTGTGAATTGTTCTTGTGAAGTAGTGCTTAGTACTCAGAGGAAGGAAGGCCTCTCCTCGCTAGGACTTTGAGGACGATGACAAGGACGATGATGTGCCTGAGAATCCTGAGCCATGTCCAGTAACTATCTGGGAGATCGATTAGTTTCCCAAAATCAGCAGACCCCAGTATGAAGCCCTATATACTACAATCCCCATTGTGAGGCTCCCCCGAAAATGCGCTCCTGATCCTGGGACCTCTCCATAGGAAACAATGGAGAAGCAAATGGCAACTACCGGGATTTACTTCCTGGTGCTTTAGGGAGAGAGGGGGAGATATATATCTATATGATATATTCCCGATATATACCCCTATAGTGGTATCTATATTCACTTCTCCACTCTCCCTTAGGCACCAGTAGGTTTAGGGTTGTTTAGGGGTTGGGGGGCCTGGTACCCCCCATGCTAGAGAATCAAATGGTGAAGAAAATGGGAAACCAAATGGAAACAATTGTGTTATAAGTAATGTTGTGCATAAAGAAGGTTAGGGTTAGGGTTTAGGGCTAAGTAAATTTTGTGCATAAAAGAAGGTTAGGGTTAGGGTTTAAGGTTTGGGGCTTATTATTTCGGGGCAAGCGTTAGGGATTCGGGGTTTGTGTTTCGTATAAGGGGGTTTCCCAAAATTAGGTGTACCCTTTTGGGGGGCCCACATAATAAGGACTATAGTTTTTTGGGGGTCTATATTGGGGTCCCCCCCTATTTTGGGAAACTACTATAAACCCCGGGCTACAGGCTGAAAGTTGGCTACGTTTGGTTTGGAGTTTAGACTTTGCGCAGGTTGGGGCTACATGGGGACATCTAGGGATTACATGGGGATTACATAGGGCTTATGCGGGGGTTATATGAGGATAGATTGAGGATGGGAAAGGAAGATGAAAACCACTGGGGTTTGGGCACCCTGAACCCTAAGCTCTAAACACCTGGTTTTAGGGCTCAGGGTCAAGCGTGACTCCTGCAAATCCAAACCGTTTATTGTATCGGGTGGAACTGACGAATGTTATTTTGAGCTACATAGGGTTTAGGGTTTAGGGTTAAGCTTTTATTTCATGGCAAGTATTGTCTACACATCGAAAGAGGTACAATAGTAAAAGGGTCAGGCTATGAAGGTCTAGCTAGCGCGCAACCCCTAAACCCTAAACCCTCATAGGTAGCAGACAACTCATAGGCAGTTTGAGCTGCCTTTCGACTTGCCCTGCTAGTCCAAGGGATGGGTCGAACTTCAGGTTTCTTCCCCTAAACCCTAAGCCCTAAACCCTAAACCGCTTCCTCTAATTATTCACCATTCTTGCCCTACAGGCATCACATCCTGAAAAGACGTCTGCAACTTCTCGTAATCCCTAATGATCCTAAAATCCCGCAACGTAGCCTCACTTGAGAAACCCTCAGCCCCAAACTCTGAAACCAAAAGATCTAGAACTTGGGAAGCCATGATCCCAGACCTCCCCAAACCCTAGATTCAGACCAAGAAAGCCCTGATCCCTCAACCCTTTGAACCCTCAGCCCAAAAAAACCCTCAGCCTTTAGGGTCAAGGGTTTAGGGTCCATGGACTGCGTGAACTGCAACCTGAGGCCCAAGGTAACATCAGCCATCGTAGAGCTGGACTTTCCAGCTTCTCACTTGCACTTCAAAGATTTGGTAGTTCCTCAAAATAAGGGGACCCCAATATGGACCCCAAGCTATTATAGTCCTTATGAAAGGGACCCCCAAAATGGTACCCCTAATTTTGGGAAACCCCTATATACTGTAGAAACCTGAAGCACGATAAGGGCGTTTTGAGAAAATGAATGGGTTGCTGTTAAGGAACTTAGATTAAGTTACCATAATGGGTATACACTACTACAGTATGGTTTCCCAATATAGTAACCTAAATTAGCTTCCTTAACAGCAACCCAGATAATGTTGTCTTAATTGGTTGAGGGGTACCATTGTTGATCATTCGGGAATCTACATGACAAGGTTTTTGAGGGGTGGTTCAGGGGGATAGGAAGCCTGGTAATCCACAATAGTCCCCAATCCTCCCCGGGTACTCTCCATTCTGACTCAACATTGGTATGTTTTTCCACCTCAAAACGAATGAGGTTCACTATTCCGAGTAGATATATCTACACATATACCATCTTCCAAAGAAGGGTCCAAAGTGAATTCCAGGTGAGACTAGGAGGGGATAATAAACTGCAGGGTACAGGGAACCACAAGCACCTAAACCTAAACCCTCAACCCCGCACCTTCTAATCCTGAATTTTAAATCCAAAGCCCCTAGCCCTTAGACCTAGGCCCTAAATTCTAAACTCAGGGTTTCCATTCCATGTTCCATTTTCTTTTCCATTTGATTATCCATTATAGTGGTAATACCCCCCTAAACCCAACCCCAAGACCCTAAATCCTAGACCCTAGACCCAAAGCCCTATATAACTTCTATTATCAAGTTCTGAGGGTGAAGGCTGAAACTAGCAAGCATTATCCAACAAAATATTTCACCAACCAAAGGAGCCCCGGATATCGTCCGGTCCCCGTTCCGTGAACCTCTCAGAACCCTGAATTTCTATTAATTGGTTAATTGGTTTAGGGTTTAAGGTTTGGGGTTTAGGATTCAGGGTTTTGGATTGAGGATGCAGGGCTTAAGCTTGGCAATTTAGGTTACCTGTTCTTTCTAAGTTCTGCACGCGGCACTTCGATATGGAGTTCCATGTTTGTTTGCAGGAGGGCAACATGAAGCAACCATCCTGTGTTAGAAGCCCCAAAGCAGAATCCCTGAACTCTATACACAATCTCCACAGTCCGGGGTAACATATTAGATATACATCCCTATACGCCCCTCAGGGTCCAATTCTTTGTTGGACCCACCCAAACCCCTAAACTCTGAACCCCTAAACCCCAAACGCCTCAGCCCTAAACCTCTAAACCCCCAAAACCCTAAACCCCTAAAACCCCTAAAGCCCTAAATCCCTAAACCCCTACGACCCCTAAAGCCCTTAGCAGAGTGTTGAGAAGCAAAGGCTCCGAGTGACCTTCCACAGGCAAAGCTGACCTGGGCTTGAACTTAGGAATGATCGGAATAGGAGTTTATAGGGGTTTAGGGGTTTAGGGTTTGGGGTTTGGAGTTTAGGGTTTGGGGTTTAGGGGTTTAGGGTTTAGGGTCTAGGAATACGAGTTTATAGTCCCCCTTAAGTAGTTAGAATATAGTGTATATTATTGGGGCTTTATAGGGATAATGGAAAGAAAATGGAAACTGCTATATAATAATAGGGTATCTATTGGGGGTATAGTCCCCCTTAAGTAGATAGAATGTGGATTTAGGGCTTAGGGTTTAGGGTTTAGGGTCTTATAGTCCCCCTTAAGTAGATAGAATATGGGGATTATATTGGGATAATGGAAACGAAAATGAAAATTACTATTTAGGGTTTAGGGTCTATAGTCCCCCTTGAGTAGATAGAATATGGAAACTATAGGGATTATAGGGGTTATATAGGGATTATAGGGTATATTCTGGGGTTATAGTCCCCCTTAAGTAGATAGAGTATGAGGTTTAGGGTTTTGGGTTTTGGGATTTAGGGTTTAGGGTATAGCCCCCCTTGAGTAGATAGAATATGGGGTATATGGGGGTCTTATCATAATATACCCAACACCATATTCTATCTAATTGAGGGGGACTAGAGGGTGGGTCGTTCCCCCTTCCAGAAACTGTCCTTAAAGGGGCTTCATTCAGGGTACAACATAACTCCCATTGGTTGTAGCAACTGTTACTGTAGAGGGCAGGGAACTACAGTTGCTGAGGGTTTAGAGCTGTTTGGTTTAGAGCTTTGGTTTCGGGCTTGGGGTTTGGGTTTGAAGTTTACGGATTAGGGATTGGGGTTTTTGGGTTCGTGATAAGAATACGAGATAGAGTCGTAGAAGACGTATATCCGCATTTTGATGACTCATCTTAAGTTTGTCTTTACAGCAACCCTGACTCCTAGTGGTCATATGAGCTAGAGTCCAAGATCCTAAAAGGGAGATTATATAGGGGAGTATTATAGGGGTTAGTAGGGGGGATACTCGGAGTTGACATTATGGCTAATATGTGTAGAAAACAGTCGCAACTCGTTTTGCTTCAAGTTTCAGATCTTCTTGCCAGCTTAAGGGTTTACTGATTGTCAAAGACATTGAACCCTAGCATCCTTATCTAAACCCAACAATCCCTGCATGAACGCCCAATAATCCTTGCATAAACCCAATCACCCCCACATACACTCAATAACCCTCACTAATCCCTACATAAGCCCCGTATAATCCCTACACGAACCCCATGATTCCTACCTAAACCCAATAGTTCTAAAAGCAATGTGGAGGTCAGCTACGAAAGCCTCCTCGAAATTGTCAAGGTTTCTTTTCGCCAGCGGGGGGCTCGCGCGGATTAGGGCTAAGGGAGTAAAACTATACCATTGTAGGGGTTCTTGATGGGATACTAGGCGTTCAGACTACTGAGAATGACCTAATCACTTGTTTTGGGCTATCATTGCACAAGACTGGAAATTTCTAGAAACCTGCATTCTTCAAAATGTCCTCTCAAATTCGTTGAGACTATCCTTGGTAAGTTTAAATTAGACATGTAGCTGCAAACAGAACTTTGGAGAGACCTGGGCTCCTTCTAAGGGCTTTCATGGGCCCATGCTGGTGTAGGGGCAGGTATTAGTTACTAGCTCAAGTGCTAAACACATAGATATTTCCACAAATCAAGGTCTACATACCTACAAATATACACAGGATAGAAGCCCTAGTGAGGGCCTCTTCGTTGCGCTCCAGAAAGGGGGCTGCGGACCCAACGATTTTCAACAGCTTTGACATGAAGCTTGCTGTCATGGTGGAGATGCTGCCCCGAAATCCCCATCTCGGCAGCCGAAGGTTTGTATTTGCTGCCCACATTTGTGCAAGCGCAGATGATGCCTGCAAGAAAGCGACGGCGTCAAGAATGTGCCACGCAGTGCCGCCCAGCTCCAGCGGGGAGGGAAACCGACTCAGGAGCCCCATCATAATAATAGGACTGCTTATAGTAATAGTGCCGCGTTGGGAAAATTTGTTTCAGTATCTAGGATTTAGGGTCTTAGGTTTTAGTGGGTTTAGGGTTTGAGGTTTAGGCTTGGGCCATGGTTTTTTTTTCCAAGGTTTGGCTCCGCCCTGGTTTGGCTCACGCCTTGGGGATTTCCTACAATTTCTAGCTCTAAAGGCTGCACATATTGTAATTTACAGCATTGACAGCTTCTCGTTAGGTCTGGCTTCCTTAGGTGTGGCTCAGAGCCCCTGGTCCTCTGGTCCTCTAGTCCCCCCTGGTCCTCTGGTTCCTGGTCCTATGGTCCCCTGGTCCTGGTCCCCTGGTCCTCTGGTCCCCTGGTCCTCTGGTCCCCTGGTCCTCTGGTCTCTCAATCCTCTGGTGTTTGGTTGCAGCTTTTGGAAGGTTAGAAATACTGCCAATTACAGCTTTTGGAGCTTCTGCAAAGATAGGATTCCTGCAAATTACGATATTTGTGGTGTTTGAAATTCTACGACTTTTGGTTGAGAAGCCAGGAAACTGCAAATACAGTGTTCGCGGCTCTTGCAAGGCTACGCATGTTGTAAATAACAGCATAGGGAGGTCTTGGAAAGTGAGGAATGTTTTAAATTCCAGAATTTGTGCCTCTTGGAAGAACAGGCATACTGCAAAGAACAGATATCTCATAATGCACACACATTGCAAAACAGATCGGTCAAAGGGTTGCAAGAGGCTGCGTGTTCCGATTTTCGTCCACGTTTTGCAAATTGGGCGGCGTTGCGTTCTTGTTTACTAAAGCACACCGCTCCCAGGCGACTGAGCCATACATCTTGGAATCTAGTCCGGCGTAGTCTTGCAACCCCCAAGCAGTGTTGACTGCAACCGGCTGACAAAACATTTGTCAGGGATGGGTAGAGAAGTCTACTATCTTAAAATGTACTGCTTAGACGCCTGTGCCCTCAAACCTTGAATCTTACACTACGCGCTCCAAAACCAAGACCGTTAACCATCATCGCTGAACCCCCAAACCCTATAGCCTTAAACCTGAGCCCCCCCAAACCGAAAACATTAAGCCCTGATCTCCTACCCTAAACCCTACCTAGACCCCCCAAGTGCCCTCTATAGACCCTAAGTATCCCCAAATAGAGAGAGAGAGAGACCCTATTTTAGGGTACTTGGGGGGGGGTCTAGGTAGACTCTAACTTCCGAAACCAAGCGCAGGTCCTGTACAGGCCGATTCAGCAAGGCTTCGGCTTCAAAATGCTCCAGAAGTTCGGCTGGAAGGCTAAAAATCTGAGAGTGGGCTTAAGGTTCAGGCTTTGTGGAAATGGGGTTTAGGGCTTACGGGTTTTAAGGTTTAAGGGTTTTAGGGTTTCAGGGGTTTAGGGTATAGGGTTTGTGGATTTAGAGTTTCTGGGTTTAGGGTTAAAAAAGTTCAGGGCTCAGGGGTTTTGCAACCATTTCTGGGTTGGTTTTCAGGCAAGCCTGAACCCCAAGCAACAGTTCAGGTATTGAGATGTAGGATTCATTGGCCGGAGTCTGGTTTCCTCCTATACTCCATTCCTTTTAGGCGTGGGATTCCATACCCACAGGTGGATTTTCCGACATATAGATTTCTTGTGGGGTCCTTAAGGTAAGGATTCTTTCTGTTGGGAATCCATGCCAGAAGTGGCAAAGTGGGATGTTCGACCGAACCGTCCATCAGGAAACGTGTGCTTCCTGCCGACACATCTCACGTGGTTTTTTGCCACTCAAGAAGCAGTCGCTTTCTCAGGAGTAATGTGGCCCAAGCCCCAATAAGGGTTCTAATTTCACACCCAGGCTGCAACTCAACGAATCCTAGAGGCCATGCTGGAAGCGGTATAACTTAAACCCTACGCCCTCAGCGCTATGCTTCAAATCCTGAACCCCCAAAAGCTATGCTTAAAATTTTAGAACTGCCCCAGAACCTAAAAGGCAGCTTCCATAAATAGGGGTCCCCAATAGACTCCAAAAGACTACATATCATCCTTCGTATGTGGATCCCCAAAGAGGTACCCCTAAGTCTGGGAAACCCCCCACAACTTGTGGCACTGCTCTCAAACCTTAACCCTAAACTCTAAACCCTAAACTCTAAACCCTAACTCTAAACCCTAGATCTAAAATCTAGACTCTAAAAGCTGAACTCTGAACCCGAAACTCTAAACCCTAAACTCTAAAGCCTAAAGCCTACAACTTGTGGCAGGAGGGTGAGGGACTGGGCAAAGAGGAGAAAGGGTTGGCCACGCCGCCGGGGGCTTGGGATCTCCGGGCCTTTTCAGTCTAAGGGTTTAGGGTTAGAGGGTTTAGGGTTTAGGGTAGTTGAAGGGTTTGGGGTGTTAGAGTTTGAGGGTGTTGGGTTTGGGGGTTTCAGGGTTGAAGATTTTGGAGTTTTAGAGTTTGAGGGTTTTAGATTTTATGGTTTTAGGGTTAAGAGTTTTTTGGGCTTTAGGGTGTGAGATAGGTTTAGGGCCCAGCTTCGTAGACTGCAGCCTTCTGTGGGGCTTAGGGGTTCAGGGTGCGACGGTGAGTCTACTGACCTGCCCCAGCCGTGGATGAAGACCACAAGGCCGCAAGAATGCAAACTTGCAGGTTGGGTGTCGGGGAGGCCTTCTAAGGTCATGCAGGATTTTTTGTATCAAGAGGCACGTAAGCAATGTAATGTTGGAGCCTGATTAGCGTGGGGGGCCCCAACAAACACCGGAGCCTCTATAATCAAAAGTCCTCAGAAGGAACCCTATTCAAATCAATGAAGGAAGGTCCTTCGGCTTTTATTGAAGTTCTTTGGAAGACAAAATTTAAGCCACAATTGAGGCTTCTACCGGCCAACAGCAAATGGGCAGAAAACTAGACACGGTGTTGGTGATTCTGACTGTAATGATGCATGTCCAAATTCGCCATTACCAGGGGGTTGACACTTACTTGCTTTTTTCAGACATCCAGTTTGATACTGCAAGTGACGGTGGAGTGTTTTTCGCTACGTACTTGTCCGGG